CTTATTATTTTGCCACGGGAAAGTTTAGGTTGGATTAAATCGATCAATACATGAAATACAAGGGCTCCCAATGGAATTTCTGGACGAAATAATATTCTTGAAATATTTTCACAAAAATCCAAGAGGATAATAAAAAATAATGAAAAAATCAGGAATAATGAAAAATTTCACGTACGCGGGTGACGGTAAAGTGATATTTCACTTCCCTTTGGTCTAAAGTACGTGACACAAATACGATCCAAACTGACCCAAAATTACAAATAATTTTATGATTATAGTAGTACAGTTCTCACCTTCAAATACAATAGCGGCAAAAACAGAAATCGCACATACTGCAGCCGCCAATCGCCATTTTGAAAAATATTGCATCATTTATTAAAAACAATCCGTCAAAATGCTTTTTATTAGTCGTATTTAGAAAATATACTCGTCTGCTACTCGTCTGTACTCGTCTGTTACTCGTCTGTTACTCGTCTGTTACTCGTCTGTTACTCGTCTGTACTCGTCTGTTACTCGTCTGTTACTTGTCTGTTACTCGGGTGTAGTTTCAGAAACGATCCTCCTTGCGCTATGGACCGACACTGACGTGAATAATTGTTTAGCATATGCAGCTAAATTCAATTAAGGTTGTCCTCTCAAAAACTTAAAACCCTAAACTCTGAGCGCGCAAGGGATGATGGGTTATTGCTTATTTAGACTCATAAACTTTGAAATTTGAAAGACATACAGAAGACATACAGAAGAAATACAGAAGACTTCTGAAAAACATACAGAAGACTCACGACAGCAGACATACTTCTGCAAAGGCAATTTTCTGAGTTTAAGGGCCTAATAGGTGAATGCCCATCATCCCTTGCACGCTCAGAGTTTATGGTTTAAGGTTTTGGAAGGAAAACCTTAATTGATTCAGCTGTATATCACAACAAAACAAGAATGACAAAAAAACAACGAAAATATTTTAAAAACAGTTTGTATTTCAGCTCCGATCCTGTAATGTTGATTTACCCGCTTTCAGTAATTTTATAATTTTTATATATTAGAAATAGATTAATAGAATACCTCTACACATTTTTAGAGCGTCCTGGTCAGAATTAAGTGTGTTGTCAATCAGTCCAGTTTTGTTTTGAGTCCCAATGCATATGTGTGAATTTCGGTGCGGCGTTCTAACCAACTAAGCTACAGAGTACAGAGTCTATAGTTGCTGCATGCATGAGCATTACTTGAGCATTAAGAATTTAAATTTATTGAAAACGGACTCTGCAACCAGTGGAGGATGAAATACGTTTATGGATTACAATTTGCGGAAGTTAAAAGTTAAATTTTGCACTGAATAGTAGTTATGTAGTTAACAAATAGTAAAATATTTACCATGCAAACAAGAGTGCAAACGTAACGGCTAGTTAAGCTAAAAATGCGCATATCCGCATTGTTCCGATTATAGTTCATCACACATGACGGAATGAAAGAGTTTTTAAAATAGTCAGTTTTATATTTAACTGGAACAAGTTTAGTAGCACGTAGGCAGGCTGGGAGGATATCATACTGAACGAGTTTGGACAAGGAAGAGGAAAGTCTGCGAACCCAGACGTCATTTCCCGAGTGAAGAATGACCCTGTGAAGTGCATGACGTCGCTCGCAGACTAGGAAAAGGACTGTAGAAGCAGTGCCTTTTTTAACTATATATCTGGGGGGCAATTGCCCCCCCCCCCAGGGAAATAATCCCCCCCCCAGTAAAGCCATTTCTGCCCCTGAAGTGCGAAGCAGAATTGTTCATGATTGCTGTCAGAATTGCAGTTGATTTACTTGATTATGAGATTATGCCCTTCCATAGCCTCCTCCACAGCCATCTTGTGTGTAATTCATATTGTTCTTCACCGAGTGTTTCATAATAGCGATAGATTTCATGCAAACAATCCGATAAAATGCTGGTTCCAAGAAGAATAGATTTAGTTTATATTTTTAACTGTTAAATACATGTATGCATCATCATAGCATGAATATTTCTTCTCAGATTTATTCTGTATCGTATGAAAAAGCAACGCAATTTTGAGAATGCGGAAATGGTGTCTCATAGAACCTAAAATGATTTAAATGCAACATTTCTGATCAAAATCACAGAGAGGAAATAAGGTGACACTGACCCCTCCTCCTATTTTTCAAGGTGACTTTTCCAATTTATTTAATTCCGAGTAGAAATGTCTGGAAAAATTCATGTCTCCGATGTACTTTATAATCTTCGGAATTCTGCTAGATTTCACTCCTAAAATGCTTGAAATCGCAATTCAGGGACCCTAGATTTCAAAATTTTCCCGGGGGTGCATGCCCCCGGACCCTACTAGACGGTCTCACGCCTTCGGCATGAGGTTCGCCTCCCCCCCCTCCAAAAAAAAATTATGGTCTGGCTACGCCACTGGTTATAGCTGTACGATTATAGCTACAAAGACTTGAAGTTATTGTTTACAAAAGTTTTACAAAGTTTTACAAAATCTCTCTTCAGACTCGCGCGTTCGCCAAACCTCGACGGCTCATATTTTTCGTTCTGCCTTTTTTTCCTGTTTTGCCCCTCCAGTGAAAATTCCTTAAAAAAGGCACTGTATAGAAGAACTTTTTTTTGAATGGGGAAGGTGAATCCGATTACAGAACCAATCAAATTTCGTGTAACCTCACTTGCATTGCAAGTTGTCGTGATGCCAGGAGTTTTGAAAAACGACCCTCAAACATTTTCTCTGATAACAATCTGGTCTCTTTTCGACACAGCAAAATTCAGATCCGAGATATCCTAGTTCGAAGCTCCCTCCCACAGGATTCGTCGTCAGATAATGGCACTTTTCCTTGTCAGGTGCCCCAATGTAAAACCTGTGAGTTCATAGATTCTTCTACTACCATATGGACCATATGAAGCACCATTTCACGTGCACCTCCTTCCATCTCCCGCATCTATTGCATCACGTGCAGTAAATGTGGCATGCTTTATATTGGAGAAGCTGGAAGACTTTTGAGGACAAGGTTTGGTGAACGTCGGCGTGCTGTCATTGGTAACAATGCCAACCGCAAACTGTTGCCGGACTTTTTGATAGTGACAATTACAGTGTTTCAGACATGAAAATTCGAGTCCTCTGTCCCATTTCTGGTAGCAATGATAGCCGCAAAAACCAAGAAATTCACCTTATTTTCAAGCTTGGCACTGTCCACCCCTATGGTATAAGTGAACGTTTTCTTATGTTTAGCTGTTAGCTATATCTGTCCATGCCTACCTTTATCCTTACTTATTTCTCACCTTATTCCTTATAATTACTTATTTAATTATATTATATTATATATTTTTTGTATTATCCCTTAGCTTCCTTCCTTTTCCCTCAGTAATATATTCTGTAATGTGATTTACATATTTTGTTTACAGGGGGGCCTTTACACTTTGTTTTAACCAAATCTATCTGATTGGTTCATTTTTTGTCATGCTAGTAGTACTATTAATAACTTCCCGACGAAGGCACAGACGAAGGGCCTTCACTCGAAGTTTTACTTGTATTTTCAGGTAGTTGAATCCCTATCCTGATCTCAATTTTCTGAAGGTATATGGTTAAATATATTGAGTTTTTTTAGCATCTCGCTCGATAGGACAGTATTACTACTAGTAGATTAACCTGAGACCAGGCTCTATTTTTAGGCCTGATCGCAGGTTACTAGTAGATGGGTTTCTTTTTTGTAGATAGAATTTCGAATGCAAATTTATATACAGGAGCCAGGGCATTTTATAACTATATAACTATACTAGAGCATTTACACCAGTAAGCCCCAGTAGTGAAGCATGATTTTCAGATGAGCTCGCCCCTTTTGATCAGGGACGTCGTGAAGGCATCGACATTGGGGGGGGGGGGTCATCATGTTTTGACCAACTTTTCCTAGAATTTTGACCAAGTAGTAGAAATGTTTCCCGAAAATGTTGTCGACGGGGGGGGTGGGGTTCAAAAAATTTTCCGCACTAACATAAGCAAAGCTTCAAATATTTTTCGACCAAAATAAGCAAGGCTTGCAATTTTTCAGTGCAAACATGACCAAAGCTTAGAAATTGTTAAAATTGCGACGATTTCATAACTTTAACCATCTTTTATCTCAAACTTTGACCAAATTTTTCTAACTTTGAACTTCAATTTTAAGCAAATATTAGTTCCATTTTGACAAACTTTGACCAACGTTTTGAATTATTGGGGGTATGTTACAACCCCCCCCCCCCCTCCCCTCCCACACACACACACACCGGTAGCGACGTCCCTGCTTTTGATCATTAGTAAAAGGTTAACCTTGTTGAAAAAGCTGCATCTGCCTGCTTTCTCATATCCTTTCACATTCTCGACATTCCCTAATATAAAAATCAGCACAGGCAGAGGCGGCACTAAAAGGGGATTGTGGATGTGGAACACTCCCAATCGTTAGGTAGTCGGCACATTATCTAATTCCAGTTGGATAGGAAGGAAAGAAACTAAAGCATTTGATTGACACTGATAAAAATGTATAATTGTAGCTAAAATTACGGAAAAATTAAACAATGCTACGTTAACCCAAACGAAAATGAAAAGTGTAATGTCCGGAAAATTTGTGATGTTGAGGCGTTGAGCCGTGAAGCCCCCAGCTCGCTCGCCAACAATTTTGGGAAAAGAAATACTAATTAGCGTTTGAAATTAGCAGGCAATATTTCACTTACACCCACTCGGCCCCCTATTCAAATAGCGCTAGCTCTGCTCCTGACTGGGTGATTTTTATGTAGCCGTATAAACTGTGTGGGGAACTTCGCCCCAGTAGTTCTAATTATTTCTTCACTGAAATGCCCTGACAGGAGCAGTTGCGAAACATTAACATTGAATGAGATGCCCCCAAATCTCGATATTTACACATACACCTTAATTAAGCACATTTGGTTAGAGCAATAGAGGCATAGAGCGCTGCACCGGAATCGCAGAGCCACAGAGTCGATTCCTGAAATCTATTGTTTAATAGTCCTATTGAGCCAGATGTCCAAAACTCTCGTCATTTGACCTGTGTATTTACAGTTTTCAAACTGTTCTGTGTTCCTTACATGAAGTATTTCCTGATAATGTGAATGTCATTGAATGTTGTGATTGCGGGCTCAGAAGAAATTTCGTCAGTGATTGTGATGTTGTGTATTTCATGAATAAAAAAGCTTGATTAAATCATCGATTTTAAGGTCTTAATGTTGCGAAGAAATTTAATAAAAGGTGCATAAATGGCTGTTCTATTTGATTGGTTTTATTGATTCTTATTTCAAAAAATTTTCTCAATTTTAACCGTAGTTTGTAGCTGGCATCGACAGAAATGTACATCGGTCAAAGGTCATCCAAAGATCACAACTCATTACACTATTGTTCCTCGAGAGTCAGATCAAAGATGGAAAGGTATAAATATGTCGTTGATTAATGTCGCGTTTTTAAGGTGTTATTTCTCCATCATTTTGTAAAATTGAGGTACATCCTCATTACAGATTTACAGTACCATCCAATGTACCATTGGGCTATTACATTAAACCCCCCCCCCCTGTCGAGGCCTCTGCTTTTGGGGATTTTACCCCTCTGGAATGCAAAAGAATCTGTGTAACTGACCCCTCTGGAAGAGACTTGAACCCCCTCTGGAAGTGCATTTTTGCTTTTTAACCCCTCTGGAAAGAGCATTTTTCTTCCATTTTTCCGAATTACCCCTCTGGAAAAAATTACTAATTTACCCTTGGAAAATGAGGTCCTCGACAGGGGGGGGGGTACGGGCATTAAATGTAATAGCCCATTCATGATCCTGACTACTAATGTATTCTCTTGTGTGTGATGTAAGGGCATGCAATGCCACTATTAGGAAGCCGCCTTGATGGCCATTATTGCTCTTTTCGACCAAATGTTATATTGCCATTTTTGACCATGAAAATTCAAAACAGAAAATTGTATGAGCATGCGCAATTGCAAAGGTCATTTCAACTCTTCCTAATGGCAATGGCCATGCCCACCTGCATCAACTTTTTGGAAAGCCCCAAATGAGAAACGTAATATGCAACAAATAGAGGCCTGGGCATAGGGAGCTCAGCAAATTTATGCATTGACTGCCCTTGTACCTACTGATTTATTTCCTAGAAGTTACTATCACAAGCAAAGTGCTGCCTATAAACCCCCAAGGGGTGAAAGGCAGCATGTGCAATTTGCTGAATAAGTGGCTTTTTATATGATCCCGCTTTGCCAGGTCATGCATGCTATGCAAGTTTTTAATGATCTATATATATATATATATATATATATATATATATATATATATATATATATATATATATATATATATATATATATATATATATATATATATATATATATATATATATATATATATATATATATATATAAGTTCAATCAAATTAGTATTGACCAGGTTATGTTGAAATCTTGATTGTTTTCTTTTAATTTCCAAATATATCAGTACTTTTTGTGATTGAAAGACCTATTGTGGTTTCGGTATCGCTCTTTAAAGGTGGTTGATGTCATGCCGATGTAGTGCTTTATGCTGTTTGTGTTGTTTGTTGTGACAGTTGCCTTGTATACTATGTCCTTAGTCTTGTATTTTACCTGTAGTGGGCATGTGTAATTCCTACAATTGCAACTGTCTGTGTCCTCGCTCTGTGGCTTGTTTTTCCAACTTGTGTGTGCATTGTGTTGAGTAATGATGGTCTTCACATTGTTCATGCAACTATAGCTGACCTTAACTGTGTTTCTGTTAAAAAAAACATGAAGTGTGCTAATGTGAGCAGGACACACTAAAGTAAAGTCATAGTCCATTCATGGCTTTTTAGTCGCTGCTTTAAAACTACGACATGTAGTATGTATGCGTATTCGAGATATGACTACTTGTCACCAGGGATATTTTCAAGCACTTTTAATAGTCTACTACCATTTTTCAGAAGAAGATTTAATTTCTTTTGGGGGGAGGATGTTAAAATATTTTGTTGTCAGGGGCACACATTCCAAAATATTTTGGAGGGGTGTAAAAAATTTTGAAACTTTGCAGTCTCTAGATCGTCGGAAAAGGCATTTTCAGACTCTAGTTTGGCGATCAGCTGGCTGTAGAGCACAGAAAGGAAGTTGATTCAGGCAGTGTATAATGGCAATTAGCAATTCTGTAAACTTACTTATTATTTTTTGGACACTGTCCAAAAAATATATCTCACAGAAACAATAATTTTGCGTAATGTTTGCACCGGACGATCGGGACCGAGAAATGGTTCATTTGGGATCAACTTTTTGGACTGTTTCTCAAAATTATGAGGGTGTCACCCCCCCCCCCCCTGTAATATGCGGCCCTGTTTGTAGTACACATTTCTAGTGTGCATGCATGGGCATGAATATTCCTCTACAAGATTTTGTGTCTCAGAAGTGAAACAGTTATCAACAGCATTTTGAACAAACTTGTATAGAAAAACAGGTTATTGATGAAACATTTACATTAAAAGAAATCAAATTGTGAAAAAAAATCATTGTGCATGGAGGAAGATTGAGTTTCATAACTCAATTGAAGATTGAGTATTTACTACCGTATACTGGTAGTAGAAATTAAAATGCTTGAAATAAAATATATACATAATTATATATATATATATAGCTTAAGTTTTTGGTTTACAAAACACAAACAGTGCTCAATACCATATAGATAGAGCGTAATATAGTTTTTCGTTTTACCTCAAAAAAACCACAACAGTCTGTTTCATCTGTATATAGGATTCCTATGCGGATGAAACAAACTGTTGTGGGTTTTGAGGTAAAACGAAAAACTATAATTATATATATATATATATATATATATATATATATATATATATATATATATATATATATATATATATATATATATATATATATATAGCTTAAGGTTTTGGTTTACGAAACACAAACAGTGCTCAATACCATATAGATAGAGCGTAATATAGTACGTTTTTCGTTTTACCTCAAATAACCACAACAGTCTGTTTCATCCATATAGGAATCATCAGATGATTCCTATACGGATGAAACAGACTGTTGTGGTTATTTGAGGTAAAACGAAAAACTATATATAGAAATACTAAGTCCCAATTTACCCCTATTGCAGAACAACTGAACAATCTGCTGAGGGCTCAGACAAAATCTATTTGTTGACATTTTTGTTTAATTTAATATATCATCATGTTAGCTTCAGATGACACCACTAATTTGTATAAATTGTGGGCATTATTGAAAAATATAGTATATACCCTGAAATGTCACACAACCAGGTGAATAGACGAATGTAGGTCGGTATAGGATTATTTCATATTATACTAACAATGGACATATCTGATATCTCAGAGATATATTTTTACAGACCGTCATACCTTGTACAAAAAAAATTGGTTGACATGTTATTACACACAGTATAATTAACCAAGTTTTTTTTTTATTTGGCCTAACATAACTGCTTTTAAGTTCATATGTGCAGACAACAATCCACACTGGGTTGTTATAGGAATATCTTTACATTAAGCCTGATTATTAAGACGTGCATGCACAATATTCCGCGTTTGTTTTTAAAACGTGCTGAAATTAAGCACATTGACATCTAGAATGAACAATAGATATAAACTAATCCCCTTGCAACATTACCATTGATGCTAAAAGTACATTTTGACTCGTTGTATAAATATAAAGATAATCAGTGGGGGTGGTTTCGAAAACGAAGACCTACGAAAACGAAGACCGAAGACCTAAGATGGGTCTTCGTAATTACGAAAACGAAGACCCACTACGAAAACGAAGACCCATCTTTGTTTTCGTACTACGAAAACGAAGACCCTAAAATATTTATTTACATTGTTTTCGTGCCCACTACGAAAACGAAGACCCATCTTTGTTTTCGTACTACGAAAACGAAGACCCTAAAATATTTATTTACATTGTTTTTGCGAAAATAAGCGTTTAAATTTCAATATGTTTTCAGGGGGTTGACTATACCTCTCGTTAGGGCACTTCCTAAGAACACGACGTATACTGGAAAAATCCCTTACGCTAAATTAACTTGAATCACTGAGACATCTGTGTGTACTATGTATGCACTCTGGTGGTTCTATTGACCGTGGTATTACTGATTCAAACTTAACTGATTTGCCCAGACATTGACAGTAGTACAGCAATTAAATAAATACATGTCGAATATTTGTTAACATTGTAAATTTTGCAATTGTAATTCTGACATTCTGTTGTTGACATTTTAAAATTATTTAGTTACTTGTCTGATGTTTGCCTTTGACTATATTAAAAATACTTGAGTGATTTACTGAATACTGGTTTAGGTTTCTAGTGATTCTATTTTTATTGCTGAATCGTATTTTCCTTGATCATATTGACATATATACCATAACATATTATTATTCCTTAATTTTTCCAGCAATTTATCGGAAATTTTTCGCGACACTTTTACGCTTATTTTCGCGAAAACAATGTAAATAAATATTTTAGGGTCTTCGTTTTCGTAATACGAAAACAAAGATGGGTCTTCGTTTTCGTAGTGGGCGCGAAAACAATGTAAATAAATATTTTAGGGTCTTCGTTTTCGTAGTACGAAAACAAAGATGGGTCTTCGTTTTCGTAGTGGGTAATTACGTAATTACGAAGACCCATCTTAGGTCTTCGTTTTCGTAGGTCTTCGTTTTCGAAACCACCAATCAGTGGGCTATTAAAACTGCCGATAAATTCATGAAATCATATTGTTTCAATACCTCTATATCGAACACTAAGCAGCAGATCTAAATATAAATGGCTTCACAGGGCCGTAGGAAGCTCTTTTCGATTGGGGGGGCTGAAAGCGAGGGCTGAAAGCGAGGGCCGAAGGCCCGAGGAAATTTTTAAATTTAGAATCTCTAAAATGCCATTTCCTGGACTTTGGGGGAAGATTTAACAGAATTCTGATAGTCAGAAAACAGCGTTTTAGTATGTCGAAATTTACAGGAAAGTATGGGCCAGACTGTAGTATTATAAATGCGCGGCGGGAATTTTCGTCGTAAATGGCAGTTGCGCGGAAATGAAGGCAGAACATTTGAGAAAATTTCGAAAATCTGGAGTCTCTAAATGGTCTGAAATGGCATTTTCAGAGTTTTCTTTCGCAAGACCCAACACGCAAAAGACAAAATAAATCATTAGTTCATCAAAAATGTGCAGATTTTGTGGGATTTTCTTGAAAATGCGCGACAGAAATTCAGCTAAAATTTCTACGCGAGGAACGATCTGGAGTATGAGTCATATCTTCATTCTTTGCAGTTTGTCACAGATTAAATGATAAAGTTTGCATGATTTTGAAAAAAGAATGATTATTAGCAAATTATTGGGGGGGCTGCAGCCCCCCCGGTTGCTACGGCCCTGCTTCATGTATATATCACCAGAAAGAAATAAAGCTATCCTTACCTGAATTATTCAAAATATTGTCGATCGTTTGCATCGTGAAAATCCAACATACTGCATGTAAATATAATCTCGTAACTGAAATCCTGAGAAAAATCATGCGAGCGCAATACAAAATAAAGTTTGACCACCCGGCCCCCTCATTTATAAACTTCCTGAAGCTTAATTATTTCCCTGGAATTACGACATCTTTACAGACAGACAGACAGACAGACAGACAGACAGACAGACAGACAGACAGACAGACAGACAGACAGGCAGACAGACAGACAGGCAGGCAGGCAGGCAGGCAGGCAGGCAGGCAGGCAGGCAGGCAGGCAGGCAGGCAGGCAGGCAGACAGACAGACAGACAGACAGACAGACAGACAGACAGACAGACACAAATCGAAATCTCGACTATATATAACTCGGCCAAAGAGACTGGACACAAGTAAATGCAATACTTCATGTCAAGATTAGTGTGCTGCCAATATCCTAATGTTCAGCAAAATTGCTAAACAGACCATTTGTAGCGGACCAAATGGTCAGTCGGTAATAGAAACTTGTGGTACTGTACCTAGACTGCTGCTGCAGCCAGAGCCCTATAGCCATGGGGTGGGGGTCTCCTCCCACTTTCTAGCCTGCGTAGCAGGCGTTTAGTGTGGGCGGGAGAAGAGAGGGTGTCCGCGAGGAAACAGACAGACAGACAGACAGACAGACAGACAGACAGACAGACAGACAGACAGACAGACAGACAGACAGACAGACAGACAGACAGACAGACAGACACAAATCGAAATCTCGACTATATATAACTCGGCCAAAGAGACTGGACACAAGTAAATGCAATACTTCATGTCAAGATTAGTGTGCTGCCAATATCCTAATGTTCAGCAAAATTGCTAAACAGACCATTTGTAGCGGACCAAATGGTCAGTCGGTAATAGAAACTTGTGGTACTGTACCTAGACTGCTGCTGCAGCCAGAGCCCTATAGCCATGGGGTGGGGGTCTCCTCCCACTTTCTAGCCTGCGTAGCAGGCGTTTAGTGTGGGCGGGAGAAGAGAGGGTGTCCGCGAGGAAACGCCTGCCCAAATGGCTATGACTAATCTGACTCGTCCCCAGTCGCTCACGTTGGATGATGGGAATGGGTTAGGTTTGTGCCTAACCCGCGAACGGGCATATTCTCCCGTGCTAAAATGTAACGAAGGACTGTGGAAGAGTCAGATGGCTAATGTAGACTGCGAGCAATCCCTAATAAAATAGATGTGACTAATGTGTTTTCGCCCATTAAGGGTGATTGACCTTTTGTAATTAGCACCTTCACCGGTTCACCCATTATCCAGCATCATGCATGTTTTTTTGCTCGGCAACTAGGGAGATTTTATGCTATTTTAGACAACAGAGAGCCGTTTTATCCTTTAAAAGGCTCCTGAACCACGGTTGTTTAACGTATTCTGCCGCAGCAAGTAACAGTTGATAAGTGTTATTCTTAAAATCATCGTCCAACTTCATAGCTGCAATGCCAATTGATGTAGCCTCAGCTATATATGGTCTTGAATTATACTTTCAAGAAGACAAATAACAATTATAACAAGACAACTATAAGAAATAGTCGATTCCTGCTCGTGCTGGCATGTAGCAAGCTTTGATTTGGCGATAGTGTATAATTGAAAGATCAAACTTTTTCTATGTCCCGTAGCGTAGGAAGAATCGCGATAACGTCTTCACCACGGAGCAAATTAATAATAGACTTTCTCTGTTTGGTTTCAACTGAATTTCGAAACCTAAAAGACTTGAAATATCAGAAAGAGTTTCCTCCAAAGCATTAACAGCCATATTTTTTATGAGAATATATACGCTGGCAAAATTATTGTTGACATTTGAGTTACGTAATTACTTCCGTTAACGAAATTGATCAATGGGAATTAAAGCCGAAGTTTCTTGAATTTCTTCGGTCAAAAACAAATTTGTCATAGCCATTTGGACAGGCGTTTCCTCGACGACGCCCTCTCTTCTCCCGCCCGCACTAAACGCCTGCTACGCAGGCTACCCACTTTCCTTCAGGACTACCTTTGGGAGATGTTTGAATCTGTTGAGAAATGCTATGGGGGGGGGGCATGTGTACAATATAATGTCACCCCACCTTGTACAGCAAATTTGTTGTACAAAAGTAAAAAAGACATTATAAATGCGAAAGAAATTTCACACTACGCAAGCAAGCACACTTGCAAACATGTACAAGCACACGTTTGAGTGTTGTTTTCTGGACCTCTGACCCTGAATGACACATTCTAACAGTGTTGGGTAACAGGCAGCAAGTCCAATACCAATATGCTTAATCAGCTGACGCTTTCTCATATGTGAATAAGCATGTGGCCCACTTCCATCACATTTCCAAAGTCCCTGTAGATTGCAATTACTACAGTATATGGTAACCATTCTATTCTGTACCTTAATTTATTGCAGCCATTGTGTATTGTGGTAATGTAACTATGCATTAGGATATTCAAAAATGTCAATTCAGTGGTAACGCATTAACATACTTTAGCTGGTAAGCTGGATTCTCAGTTGTTTCTCGAGACTTTCTCTTGTTATTTCGCTTTCTAAGTGTTTATATTCAGAACATGCATTTGAAAACCTCTTCTAAGCATTCCCATACAACACTTGAGGGGTCAACTTCTCGGGGTTACCAACTGAAGATCCTCTTAGTAAATACTGTGGGCTACGTGGAAATCACGTGGCATCCTGGTTGGCCAACTGCGAACGGTCCCTCCTTTCCTACCATGCTGTATCAATTGCATTATGCATATCAGCATATATGGTACATTAACTGGACGTTTTTCTTTTATTTCATATCGGCAAGATGTCGATATGGAAAGGTTCGCAGATGAAACAGATGTTGTGATAGTTGGTGGAGGACCTGCAGGTTTATCAGCAGCAATCAAGTTAAAACAGTTGGCAAATGATAGTGGCAAGGAAATCAGAGTCTGTCTGTTGGAGAAAGCACCTGAAATTGGTACCGTATAGTGCAATTATATCTTTTCAAATTAGATTTTTGGTGATGTGAATATTTTATACTGCAGAGAAAACATCATTAATGATACAATTTTGAACTTAATTAAAGCTGTTCAGTAAATGATACAGTATATTACATTAATTAGTATATTAATTAATGATTAAAGCTGTTCAGTAGTGCATTTATATTACATTATGTAATATATTATGAGATTTATAATTAAGGCACTATCATGTAGGAGATAGTAGTCAACTGGCAGTTATCTTAGAGAGAAAATTTTGTAAGTTATCTTATTTAATCATTATGATGTTGTATACTTGTACAGTATATTTGGAGACAACTGTTTAACAGAATTGAGATATTTACGGTAGTTTATATATAATTTGCTAGTTCCTATAACCGTTAATGTTGCCCACCATCTGCTGCCCCATAACACTTACTGAAACCCACCTATAGGAGGAGTAGCATTGATATATTACAAGCACTAATATATATGTTAAGAAATTTACGAATTAATTAAAAGTGCATTGTCATGTACAGAGCAGGACAGTCATTTGACTTAGTTATATAGAAGATGATATACAGTGGTTGTATTATTCGATTTGTCAAACAGTCGTCAGATTGACACTTGCCTATTTAACAAATAAATAACATTTTGTTCAACATTGTTTCCACACTATGACGTCATCATAACGTGGTAGGAAAAAGTGCCCACAAGCCGCTGGGGCGAGTGAGTCACCAATGTTCTTATCATGTTTTGATGTCATATCCATAACAGACAAACAATGATGAAATGTTGTCTATTTGTTTTATAAAATAAAACGTCACTAAAATGGCGTAGCTTACGACTAATGAAAAGAAAGAATGAACTAAGATTATTAATATGTAAGTTATGTAATTCATTTTATGTTGCTTATGTAGGGGCGCACATTCTCTCTGGAGCGTGTATAGAACCTCGTTCTTTAAATGAACTCATTCCAGACTGGGAAGAGAAAGGGGTAAGTTTGATAATGTACAGTAGGAAAATGAATAATGTTTGTTTAACACCTTGCAGAGAATCTCTGTTCTCTAACACTTTGCAGGGAATGTGCGTTGTATAACACCCTGCAGAAAATCGATGTTGTTTAACACCCTGCAGAAAATCTCTGTTCTCTAGTACTCTGTAGAGAATCTATTTTGCATTGTATAACACCCAGAAGAGAATCTATAGTGTTGTATAACCTTGCAGAGAATCTCTGTTCTCTAACACTTTGCAGGGAATGTGCGTTGTTTAACACCCTGCAGAGAATCTCTGTTCTCTAATCTATAGTGTTGTATAACACCCTGCAGAGAATCTCCGTTATGTAACACCCTGTAGAGAATGTGTGTTGTATTGTATAACACCTGCAAAGAAAGTTTCTGCAACAGGTATAATCTTTAGAGAAGTAAAGGTTTGGTGAATATCGCGCACTCGTCTCATGCATTTCATCTTATATCGAGTCTCAAATTGTGCCAACTTACCCTGTTTTACATATTAATATGTAATAATTCAATCTACATAATTTTCCTGTAGGCTCCGTTGAAGACAAAAGTCACCAAGGATAAGTTTTCTTTTCTTACAAAAAACAACAGAATACCATTACCGATTCTACCAGGTAAAACTTGTGATGTACTGAATGTAATATTCGTCATTATACACTTGTGCAAGAAGATATTCTAATTGCTTATACAACTATTAATCCCGAAGCCAACAGCGTGAAATGCATGTGCATATGGGCGTACGGCCAGAGACTATTTGGCATATATAGGTAATAACATAACATAACATAACATTTATTAATTTATATCGCGCAAATTCAACAATGCAGTCTTCAAATGCGCGTTACAACAATGGATAGGACAATTAAAATACGTAGAACTAATATTACATATTTAATCTAAAAACTAAGCTAATAGAAAGCCTCTCTAAAAAGATATATCTTAAGATCTTGCTTAAATATATTAAAATCAGAGATACTCCTAAGATTCAATGGCAATACAGTCCATAGTTTTGGTGCAGCAGCCACAAAGTCTCTGTCACTAAGAGTAGACAATGTCTTAAAATTTGGCGGACATAAAACAAGTTTGTTATTTGATCTTAGGCTATAAGAAGAGTTTGTTTTAAAAGTTATAAGTTCAGTTATATAATTAGGGGCAGTTCCATGAATTGCCTTAAACGTAAGTGTAATTATCTCATATTCAATTCGATATTTGACTGACAACCAGTGTAACTCGTACAACAGCGGAGTAATATGGCTAAACCGAGGTGCACGGTAGAGAATCCTTGCAGCAGCATTCTGAACACGTTGTAATTTGGCAATAGTATTGTTGGGCAGTCCATATGACAGTCCAAATCTAAATAAAGTTACGACGTTCTATGTAGCCTATGTTGTGCAATTTGTCGGACAGAATTGGACGAATAATTTTTTCATTGGGGGACAAATTAACAACTTGTCATTCTGATTCACAACAAATCGTAGTGGGTAAACGTGTACATACCTTTACGAAACATCGGTCTTTCAGTGATAAATATATCATCCCTTGTGAGAGGGTTTTTAAATTTCATTTAAACCTGGAAAATTAATATATATTTTTAACAATAATTATAATTCACTTCCCACATATACTGCCTGGCGTTCCACTTGATACATTATATAAACCGATGTTTGATTGTGTAGGAATGCCAATGAACAACCACGGGAACTACGTTGTTCGTCTTGGGCACTTTGTGAACTGGTTAGGCGAACAGGCTGAAGAATTAGGTGTTGAAGTTTATCCTGGCTTTGCCGCAAGTGAGGTGAGGCTTCGTTATAAATTGGTAACACAGGCAATATAACATGCAAGCTTAACTACGGTATCGTACAGTAACGCCCAATTAAAGTAAAATAGCTAGAATGTGAAATCAATATAAAATATTGTACAATGTGCGTCTGATCATGACGCCTTCTATTTTTTGTTGTTGTAGAAAGCTGTACAACCTGACGTACTATATCTAGTATATTGTAACTAATTATTTTATCTCACGATTGTTTTATTAAACGACTGCTTCCATAGGCCGGATAGCGCTATCCACTAGATAGTGATTTTTTCAACCTTTGTAAAAATACCTGAAAAGCTGTAAAACTACTGATATGAACCACACAAGTATATAAAAACACTTTAACTTGTAAATACTGAACTTTAATATGAGTTATACCAATCAACGACTTATTTTAACAAAGCTTAAAAAAATTTCGAAACTACGGAGTTTAAAGGATGAATGCCTGGAACATTCACTGCGCGCATTAGTCATTGTTTTCATTTTTAGTGCAGAGTTTCTTTGAAACTGTGCACTATTGTGATGAGTGGCGAAAATTCACATCTGTCATACATCAGATATCATAGAGTAAACTTTCCGGGGGGTGTATACGATTTATCTTCGTGGTGATTTATTCTACTTAGTGCTTTGAAGGTTATTTAGGCAATTTCAGTTGTCTTATTTAAATACTTATTTTGTCCTTTTGCCAAGTTCACAAAAATTTCCAGGAATTGTTGTTATTGTAAATTTTCGTCAATTTTATAACATTCGCTTCTCCGTGTTGTGTGAAAGATTTTCCCCCCGGAACACCCATTTTTTCTTTAGCAGCGCAAATGCGCATGCGCTATCAAGCTGTAGATCACGATGGCGTGACGAATGACGATGCTAGGAAGGAGCGACACTGCCGAACAGTGTTGTTTTCAAATTATAAACATTTTTATAGACGTGAATATCGAGTAAATCTTTGAGAATTTACGCAATATATAAATTGATGTTATATGACTTATGCATTACGGGCATTCAATTAAGTACCGATATTATTTTGACGGTATATTCAATTTCAATAAAGCAGCGAGACAGTGTTGTTTTGTCTTTTGAAATGTATGAACATTTCAGGCATGAATATTGAGAAAATCTTTGAGATTCTACGCAATATATAAATTGATCTTTTGCACTACGGGCATTCAATTAAGTACCGACGGTATATTCATTATACAGAGCTAGGAAGCAGCGAGACCGTGTTGTTTTCAAATGTATAAACATTTCAGACATAAATATTGAGAAAATCTTTGTTTACGTGTATAGCACAACGGTGCAAACTCGTGTTCAGTGCAACGAAAACTCTACCAGATCTTACGAGAATCTATCTGTATCAAAGCTTGTCAAAACTGCTATATAAATACTGCTATAACTGTGAAACTATTGAAATCTAAAGTTACATTATTGAATACATGCGAAAAGCTGAAAATGACTCCTGAAACAACGTGACCTTCGAAATATATCAAAGGTCAATGAGACTTGTTATTGTGAACACGTCATAATTAGATTAAAATGCGGAAAGCGGATGCGGATTCACGGAACGGATATGGGGAGAAAATGCGGAACGGTTATGGATGAAATGCGTCATTTTAATGAGTTTTTCGCCTCTTATTTACGTTTCTGTGTTTTAGATTTGTGTTCCTTTGTTGTAATGGAATACAACGTCGTAGTGCTTATTATTCATAACATATCTTATACAGCTATTTTCTCAAGTTGTCACTGAGACAATAGCCAAAGTGTACAATATGGGTGCTAAAAGGATGGTGGGAATAATCACAGATTTAAATAAGTCACCTAGGTTGCAGGCGACCCTATATAGTGTCGTTTTCAATTTGAAACTTTACAACATAACAGAAATTATGCCTTGTTACTAATATTATATGAGGAAATAAATAATATTCATAACTCTCGTCATTCTTTAATCTTAAAGTATTAGATTTAAACCAGATCTTAGCATTTTTACTGTTGTAACAGTCACGCGCGCTACTACTGTACGTCATATCGACATGTGATTAAAGCTATAAACCACGCTTGAAAAACTATTCAATTAATAAGCATGTCAATATAGCGTTCGTCTTTGAAACTCTGCACTATCCTTGGATCCCTAGTTCCCTATAAGGAGTGCTACCACAAAAAGCCACGATCATGAACTCATCCTACAAGATACAGTATGGCGAGAACTATTTATTCAGGATTACATGATTCAGGGTGCGATAATTCAAGATTTTCAGCCGTACCTGACGGGTACTCCGATAATTACTGCCGCGTACTTAAACTGGCCCAAACCTGCACAAACGTTAGACCCAAGGTGTACTTAAGTCCTTAAGAAAAAGTTCATAAAACACAGTATTATAAAAGGAATTCATTCAGTAACCTACGTTACAACTAAGAACAAGAGGGAAACCAATTGCATATAGGTACACAATTTGTTAATTGCATATATCAACACAACAATTGACTCCACCGTTCCTTAGTCGTATCAGTCCAATCATGATCCAACTTGGGCATACAACAATTTGGGCATGGAAAGGTCGTGTTATTTCCCAACAAAATGTACAGTAAGTACGCAGATAGCCGAAAAGGAGTATCAGACTATAATGTTGGGTACCTTCGGTACAGTACGTAAATACGCGAATTATCGCACCTTCACGATTACCTAACAGTATTAAGCAGTGGGTTGTTCATAGTTAGACTTGATATAAATCCATTCTTTAGGTTTTGTATCATGAAGATGGAAGTGTAAAAGGTGTTGCTACAAATGATGTTGGAATTCACAAGGACGGATCCCCGAAGGTATGCAATAAATATGGTTTTCTAGCTTTCTGCCCTGGCATTCTTTCACTCATTTTTACTAAAGCTTTCACTAGCGTTCTGCCATTCCACTCGTTTCTTTCCTTAATATTGCAATTTTTACTGCGATTTTAGGTGCGAATTTCTTCTGATGGAATTGAACCAGTGGAAGAGTTATAAATGTTCAGATGACGGTTCATATACCCAGAACATTCCAAACTCACCTGCTCGTTCACTCGCATCGCAAGAAGAAAATCGCACTTAGAAATCGCAGACTTCAGACAATGTGTGGATCTGGCCTCATCTTTTAGAGAGGGTTGAAGGTTTTCCAGAGAGGGATGGAACAACATTGTTGACAACTTACATATAGGGAGGGGAGGGGGTACAGCACAACCTTGTTGACGCCTGTCGATATCAACCGGGAACAGGTTGTACATTTTTACGCGTGTGGCACATGTTTAATATGTTAATTATTGGATGATTTAGGCAAATTTCGAGCGAGGAATGGAGTTCCATGCAAAATTAACGTTGTTTGGTGAAGGATGTCATGGACATCTTGCTAAGACATTAGTCTCAAAGTTTGATCTGCGTAAGAACTGTCAACATCAGACATACGGCATTGGATTGAAAGAGGTTTGTACAGTATATTAGTTTTAAAGTTCATTTAATTTTGCTGTAACATTAACTTTATACCCGTAGAATCGAGTTCAGATTCACAAAACTATCGTGACGTTTGAGTCAAACGTGCTTAAACTTTAAACATACATAATTTACAAGGGTTAATGTGGGGGCTAAAATAGATCATTCATTTAGTGTATTGCTTAAAATTAATCTAGCGAGCAATCATTATTAAAATAATTTGTTCATTCAATTTTATTCTCTAGCTATGGGAAATTGATCCGAAAAATCACGAACCCGGCTTAGTGGAACATACATGTGGCTGGCCAGCGGTATGTATAGTTTCGTGTACCGGTTAATCTCCCATGTTTCGCGCGAATATAGGTTGGGATTAGCGTTGGGATAGGTTTAGTTTACTTTATTGGTGCGCTAAACATGGGAGGTTAAATAAAAGTATTGTCTTCAATCTCCAACTTACCTGTCACGTTTTAGGGGGAGTTACTATTTTTAGACTTTTGTAGTTTTGTATTCTTTTCTATTTTAACCCTAAACCTAAACCTTACTCTAATCCTAACCCTAATTTTAATCAACCCTTTCCCTAATCCAAATCCTAACCCTAAAAGTCTAAAAATAGTAACTCCCGCTAAAACTTCACTCATATGCCAACTTAAAATGTATAATAATAATAACAACACAGTTTATCCCAAACAATGCAGTTAGAGCTTTTGTATTAAAAAAGCTGCTAGGTTTTTGCTAATGACGATTTTAAAAAAGTAATATAGAAAACATCATTCTATCTTATAGCGGTTCAGGCCTTAAAATATCTTTTACAGGGACGTCTGACAAAATGTCCGATGACGTTGAGTTTGGGTCGGACATATGTCTGATGACCTTCAGTTCAGTTTTGACTTGGAAATAAGTCTGAATGACACAAATGAATATCAGGACAATGTATTCTGAACGGTAAATGTTGTGAAGATATTAAATAATTTGTTTCTTTCACACTTATTTCCAAGCCAAAATTAACTTGCTTGCCAGAACAGCGTATTAAAAGACTTCGACAACTTTGATTTACGTTGGACAAAGCTACAGTTCGGTCGGACACAATTACACTCAGGTCGGACAAACAATAAACCTCAGTTTCACTTAGGTCGGACAGAATGCCCGGTAGTTTCCTCTCTACGTCGGACAATTTAACGAATGGGTCGGACAATGTCCGTGACCGACCGATATTTTAAGGCCTGGCGTTTAATTGGTTGCTAATACTGGAGTATCTTATGTATCAGAAATATGTTCATGTCTTGCTTTTCAGGACAAGAATACATATGCTGGATCGTTTATTTACCACTTGGATGAAGGACCACTTGTTTCTATTGGATATGTTGTAAGTGTAGTACAATATAAGGCGTTGCAGATTGCCTCGTGTAACACCAGTGGCGAACTAGCCATACAATAGCAACAGGTCATGCTTTGCAAATTTTTTATGATTTGCGTTATTCAAACCTTACATACAAGTTTATTAGCATAGCATGACCATGCAGTTGCCATGGCTGGCTTCGCCACTGTGCAACACTCCTAGGTTGCAACTGGTGTCGCAATGAAAAATTGCGTTGAGAGTTGCAGAGAAAGTTGAACCAGTACTGCATATACTTTTTGCAATGAAGCACAAATTTTTTTTGAAAATCAACCAATCATGAAACAGGCAAGCCTATATATTCTTAAGCCATACAGGTTCTTCCCACGAGGATGAATAATACGCTCTACGTTGTAACTCATACCTTCGATATTGTTTATATGACCGTGACAAGCGTGTATTTGTGTGCAGGCTTCGTGATTTTTATTTTTTATGATGTTGTAGCTATTTTTCACGGAGTGATACATTATGACGTAGTCGGCTTAACATGAATGAATTTTTGTAATTTAACCCTTTTCCGAAGGTTTTGGCAAGATCATTCAGTGTGTATTTATAATATATAGATAACGAAAGGGTAATAACACAATGCATGCACAAGGTGACAAGGCCTATTCTGTTAATATATATATATATGTTCTCTTATGTTCTATGTAGGTTGGTTTAGATTATTCCAATCCATACATAAGTCCATTTAAGGAATTTCAGGTACAAATGTGATAGAAATGTGCACGGATAGGTAAAATAAAATGGGAAATATCCCGAAATGAAATAAGGTAATGCATGGTATATATAATTGACGCATTCCTGCCATCACGCGCAGCCGTTGCATGGGCATGGGACTTACCTCCACACCGGCCTTGCATGCGACGTATTACACGGGAAGGATCGAATATTTTTTACACCGAGAAAGTGAATTTTCTCACAAAATGAAAGTCTCTGTTCCATATTTGACGAAACCTCTTTCTGAATGTAATTCATACTTTCCTTAATTTCTTTTTGTGGTATGTTTCCCATTGGGAAATCAATCTAACGTTTCTCAAGAGTCAAATACAGCACATTGATTTTTCAAAACATTGATCACAGTACATTGATCTTGCGTGAGTTGCGCGCATTATAATTACAGAAGTAGCTACAGTTCAATAAAAACTCTAATATTCAATATTTTTCAGCGTTTAAAAACTCATCCTTATATTGAAAAGACGTTAGAAGGCGGGAAAAGGATAGGTTACGGAGCTCGTGCTTTAAACGAAGGTGGTGTGCAGGTAATGTTTGTGAGTTTTGAAAGCTGCCAAAGAAAACGACTCTAGTGCATGTAATATTTTATTATACATTCAAATTTGATGTTCTTGATTGGTCAGCAATCTTTGGAAAATTCTCAAACTCCGATATATAGCTATTATGTTATCACGACTGCTATTATGTTATTTACGAGCTGCCTACGTACGTTCGGTCCAGAACGAAGTACTACTTGGTGTAGAGCCCAGGTCCCCTCTGCAGTCAACCCTGGAAAGGTCGCATGGGTTTATAATAGACGATTTATTTTCGAATCTTAGTGTTGTATACATATCAAGCGATGTAAATACCCTTACATGTTCTCGTGTCGGGTGATATAAGAACAAAAATTACCTCCTTTTATCCGACTGTGTTTGTTTGTGTGTTGGTTTGTGTGGCTATCAAACAGTTACCTAAGAACAAATTGATTAAATTTTGGAAATTTTATTATATTACGATTATATTATATATTATCTTCTGCTCGAAATTTCCATCTAGAAAAACGCTTCTTCTCGATCAAGCGAGATGCCCAAGATCTTGATTAAATTTTGGTACTTTTGGATGAAAATTGGATGAGAAATGTACAAAATGTTGTCTTACTTTACGGGCTGAATAGAATTGAATGCCTATCAGTGCTTTAATAATGATTTGTACATGAATATACTTGTTTATTTGCTTGCGGAGGTATACAATCTCTTAGTGTCCTCTAGTGTGGATTATTGTAGTTCTGGTTTAATCGTTTAGAGTATTCCTAAACTGGCATTCCCTGGTGGAGCCCTAATTGGATGTAGTCCTGGCTTCATGAATGTACCTAAAGTCAAAGGGACTCACAATGCAATGAAAAGTGGAATTGTAGCTGCTGAGAGTGCGTTTGAAGCTCTAACAGATGAAAATTATAGTTGCGACACTCAAGGTATATGGTCTCTCTCCTCCGCAGAGGTTATTTATTCTATTTATAATGTTCTTCGGTTCTCTTCGGATAGTTCTTGGAGTTACTGTAATCGCGATAGGGTATATGGTCACTCTCCTCCACAGAGGTTATTTATTCTATTTATAATGTTCTTCGGTTCTCTTCGGATAGTTCTCGGAGTTAATCGCGATAAGGTGCTGGACCAGCACCCTATCGCGATTAACTCCGAGAACTATCCGAAGAACATTATAAATAGAATAAGTAACCTCTGCGGAGGAGAGAGGTATATGGTAGAATGCAATTCAGGATAACGCTAGCCCATTATGGCTAGGTGACCATTTTTACGCGCAGGTCGCGGAAACTGATGAACAAAATGTTTGAACTTCCAAAATGTCCTGACGTGAGCAGTTGCTCGCGCCATCTCACGCCAAATGTTGCGCGTGTTCTATAGCGTTTTACTGTTAATTGCTGACGTCGCTAGAATTTTCCATTTTAGAAAAACAATGTGCTATATCTCTCTTAACTATTTTGTCTGGTGACGTATGTTCAAATTTTGCATGTTGTACTGCACCGCATATTTGGTGTCTGCACTTTTGGTAGCTCACCCCTCACCCCTTAATAGCTGCACGAAAATTTGTGGCCCACCCTTAAATTGGTGCTGCAAAATTATGACCCACCCTTTCAGAAAGGCGAAAGATACCAGCATTCTATTTTTCTGTTGCCAAATAATTCTGTGTTACAATACTCGATAGCTATTCAAATGGTGCAATTAAAATTCAGGGCCTCTTTTAAGGATGTGTAACTGGAGGGGACATATTTAGCGGGGGCCTGGAGAAGTTCCAGTCGGCAAGTCTATATCACTGCAGGCTGCAGCTACCAGCATATATATGCATGGTTAACTAAAAAAATGCTGTGCTGAGTGGTTATATTACTACCTTAAAAAATAAGCAGAAACTCAACTGAAAAACAAACTTTTATTTTTTAATTTTTATATTTTATTTTTTATATTTTAAGGTAGTAATATAACCACTCAGCACAGCATTTTCACATTGGTACTACCCACACTGGTACAGACAGTTTTAGTATGGTTTAACTAAGTATACGTCATAGGGCAGCAGATCAGGCCGTAACCAGGATACTGAGACAACCGAGTCGACCAGATCGAAAATTTTGGGCATAACCCCGAGAAAATTTTGGATTTCTTGAAGCTCAGATAAGCTATTTCCCGCATTTTGGAGAGTTTTCCAACAAGAAATTAATCTTATAAACAGTGACACAATTACTGCAATTTCATAGTCTGCCAAATGTAATCCAGTCCCAATAAGGCAACATGGTGTGATGATGCGGTAATTAAAATGTGTGTGGTAGAGTAAATTATCATTCACCACACTTCAAATTCTACAGTACTGTATTACATGTAATGGCGTACTTGAAATCGACGCATTTGTCTTCTCAGTGTCACTGAAGAGCAAGATAGGGGATAGGGTGGTCTCTTTGGACTATCTTTGCTTGGAGAAACTAAACTACAATTTCATCGTGAAGTGCCATTTCATGCCTTGTTCCACGAGCAAATTATTTCAGTCATGGTTTAGGTTTCTGGCGATGTTTAAATTTCAGTCCCCAAATTCTGGCCTACAAAGTCAACTGACTCGGTTGACTCAGCTAGTTACGGGTCTGCAGATGATGGTCAAATTCAGAAATGTTAACAACTTTAACATCGTTTTCTCACTTTGATACATAATTGCTGGTTGACCACCTACTGCAGGTAGTTCTTAGGGACCTCACTGGGTAAATGGCCGACTGAGGGGCCAGTAAGAGGGCTGGGGAATCATGTCCTCCCCAGTCTATATGTTAAAAGAGGCCTAGATTAAATACAGAAAGGTCTTTCTTTGCATTTCTCTAAATTTTACACATGGATCCTACGTTTTATTTCTATTTTTATAATACGAATTTTAATGCACATGCCCTTGAAAAAATTTCTGCATATTTTTACCTGGCCCACCCTTATGATTGCACTTAACTTTCGATGACCCACCCCTTCAACCGTGCTCAAAAATAGTGGCCCACCCCCTATTTTTCCCAGGCCCCCCTTTTACTTTATGACCTGTCCCTTATACAAAAAATAAAAAAATTTGTAATGCCAAATACATTTTACCGAAGAGTACGACATTTTCGCATTTTCCAAAAAATGACGTTACAGAATTCTTTTATATTTTGCTGATTGTTAGTTTTTCTTGGGGGTTACCATGCTTCTTTTCCAAAAAAAAAATGGGGGTCACCATGCTTCTTTTCCAACTATACGAGGCGATAGGCCATTTTGGAGTGAATTTCATACACACACGTATGTCGTCATAGCAACGAACTGTCTGTTACTAAAACTAATATAATTTGAAAGTAGAGATATCAAAATATATAGAAACCCCAATGTCTGCTGAATAAATCCTAAAAATGCGTAGTTTGAACATGTCAAAGTGTTGAACACCTGAATTTCTGAAAAGTGTATCAAGCCACCTTAAAAACACTTTACTTACATACAGCCCTAATCCCCTTAGTCTCTTCCAAATCAATAAAATATTAACTACAAAACACTTATAATTATATATAATTATATATATGACTAACGGTTATTTAAAATTGTGTTCCTAAAGGTTCGTTTAAAAACCTTTCTTGACTTGCTATAGGAAACAAAACGATAGTGAAAGCTCCGTGAAACTTATAAGTTGAGCCTCAATTTATAAATATGTCCAAGTAAAGCAAAGCAAACAGCGCGCGAAAATTCTTACTTTCTATTATGCTCATCTGTCTAGGTTTATACTTAAAGAACTATGAAGAGGCATTCCGTAATAGCTGGGTATATAAGGAACTGAATGCCGTTCGTAACGTGAGACCTTCATTCAACAGCGCGCTTGGTTTATATGGTGGTATCGTGTATACAGGAGTTGTCTATTATCTGCTACGTGGTAAAGAACCGTGGACATTCAAACACAAACACACAGACCACAACTCGTTGAAACCTGCAAAAGAATGTAAAGTTGTGGAATACCCCAAACCTGATGACAAACTGACATTCGACTTGTTATCATCGGTGGCATTAACGGGTACCAACCACGAAGGCGATCAACCAGCACATTTAACCTTGCGTGATGACAGCGTGCCTGTTGACCGTAACTTGGCAGTCTTTGATGGCCCTGAACAGCGTTTCTGTCCTGCCGGGGTGTACGAATATGTACCAGAGGAAGAAGGCGATGGTATGAAATTGCAAATTAATGCTCAGAACTGTATACATTGTAAAACATGTGATATTAAGGATCCCAGTCAGAATATTAACTGGGTTGTACCAGAGGGTGGCGAAGGACCAGCATATAATGGAATGTAGGGAACAATACTAAACGTACAGTATACATCTCATGATCGGTCCACTTTCTTTAGTTCTATCTTGCAATACAAACGGCATCGGTGGATATGTTTTAACAATTTATTGTAAAAAATATTTTAATACAATTTTTCGCTCTGTGTGGTTTTCACGACCTCATTTCCTTTTGTGTTATCATCATAGTAGTTTACACTATTTATATTTTGGAATTAAAATCTGTAAAGCGTACATATAGGAAGACCAAGGGATGATTTGTTACTAGTAGTAATAGCAGAGCAGCAAAAATTACTCCTTCCTCCATGAGATAAGAAGATAAGATACATGCATGATCTATTGTTAATATTTACATTTGCTTTCCTTTAACTTGTTGGGTTTCCGGTCCCCCCCCCCCGGTTAATTATGCTGTTATCTGCACTAGGCTCCTGAGCCAGTTGTACGAAGGGTGGATAGCGCTATCCACCGGATAGTAATTTTTTCAAGCTTTCTAAAATTGTCGGTTTGGTTTATTGGTATAACTCAGATTAATATTTACATATTACAATTTCTTTTATGTATTTTATAGTTTCTTTTATTGCGAGTTCGATGTCCGTAGTTTTATTGCTTTTCAAATTTTGAAAAGCATCACGTACAGTGAAATGGGATGGAGTCACAGAATATTGTGGTACGATACAATAAGTCATTCCAAGTAGAATAATCCCAACATGACGTTTGCTATGGATTTCACATAAAATACATTGTCTTTTTAGATACGGAATGGCTTCGCGTATTTACTGTACACAGTTCTGGCATGAGAACAAATTGCTGGCTAGACACCCGTCTTGCAATGTGTAACTTCGACATGAATTAAACCAAGCAATAACCTGCGTTATTGTTAATTCATTTCCAGCCTCTACTTCATAGCTTATAGGCTGGAGAATTTAACCAATTTTTCAGTCGCAGCATATAAGATAGCTATAGTTTTGCAGCGTCTCTACTTCTGTGACGCACCGGCTTTCTTACACAATGATCCATAAGATCGTGCACGTTCGACCACTAAAAATCCTAATTCTCTTCTACCCTTTACTTCTCTTGTATTTTTTGTGTCCAATCAAAAGGTTTCCACCACTCAGCGAACTGTAAAACCTTCTTCTTTTGAGTTTGGAAATTCTCTTTCCTTGGTTTCTTCCAAATAAAAGGTTCTAATTCCAACATACCACCGACGATTTCCTAGAATAAAAACGAGCTATTTTTTTTATTTTTGACAAAGCACTTTTAAAGAAAAAAGGCAACGTTCCCTTCTCTTTACTTCGATTAAAACATGCAAGTTGTCCGTTTGGAGCAAGGAACCCAAAGAACCCTTATACTTTTCATGTCATCACTCTTGCTACTCCAACAATGGCTACTCCATATCAACAATATTATACACTGTATATACCTTGCCAAAATAATGTGGTATCAAATCTTCATTTTCTATGACGTGTGCAAACCCTCCGTCCAATCCAAACTCAACAGCAAAATATGGCAGACCTTTTGGTACCTGAGCATAAGAAATACAGTATGGATTTAATAACCTATAATTTTCGTGAAATTTCAGCATGATTAAAAAAAAATTCAAAACGTTGGCAACTTTTCCAGTTAGACTCTTCATTAATTTTATAAACGGGTTGATTGAAGTATATGCTTTAGACTTGTCTTTGATGTGAGTAGGGAAGACCGGATAATGCGCAAAATGACTATAATACTATAAGCCATTGACAATTAGCTATTTCCCAAAGTCCTGGGTCTAGTCGCGCGAATCCCATGTTAGAGGGACACGAAATATGGCAGCATGCACACATTTAAATTATTAAATGTTTAATGTAAAAAGGAGATATTTCATTTTTGGTCGTTTAAAAAGTTGAAATTTGATAGTAGATACTTCTACTCTTTCACATATTTGGCGCCTGTCACCATATATTTTGTCCCTCCAAACGATCCCGGAATTCAATGTAAATTACACCCTACCGATGAACGAAGACTTTTATTCCTTGTATCAATAAGTTTCTTGTTTTGCGCCCACTCTGAATCTGATTCTTGTATCGCTTTCTACATAAAAAATATACTGAATTTAAAGTACACAATGTACGCAGTTTAAACTATACAATGTACGCAATTGTATCTGGTCGAATTTAAGACAGAAATATTTGCTTATGTGTCGATAACATGTGCTTTCTAGCTGTGTTTTCTTTACGTTTTAACCTAATTTTCTGGGTATATACCATACGTTATACTGTAATAGCGTTACACCTGTATATAGCTTCAGAACCAATACTGCCAGGCAAAAGTCCCAGGAAATCTGTCTAGCCGTAATCAATTGCCCTCCTCCACATGGGGGAGTTCCCTAGAAATATATCACCCCTACTTAAAAATTTAGCCCTCCCTAACAGTCGAATCGTAATTGCCACTAAACATATCTCGCAATAGACTTTATCACACGATTTAAATCCTTAATAAAAGCTGTAATCAAAACACAGTTGTTAATATATAATTTCGAGGGAGAAGCCTGGGAACGAGGTTGATATTTTCGATGAACTAACCCCATCTGTTCACTCCACCATGCAATTGGTAATAAGCCTAAAACCGCTGTATAATCTCGTCGAGCTGTAGTTACGAAGGTGGTTATGCAAAAAAACTTTTACTTCACAATTTTCTCGACTTAAATGTTTTGTTTTATATCGCAATTTATAGAGGGGGCGATAATTCCAAACATGCCAATATCTGTAGCACCGGTCTTAAATAATTGAGAGTTCCGGTATACCGTCTAACTTTAGTTCCACCTCAATAAATTGCACCAGGACGTGATGAGACTGATGACAATACAATTCCAAATAAATTTCCTGTAAGTTCAAACCTGAACGGAAAATTTCTTAGTAGGATATAAATTAATTGCTTCTGAAGACTGAAATAAACAAAAGCGGATAACACTCAACAGATTGATTATGAAACTGAAACTTTTAATACCTTCGAAATGAAGAAACTACAGTAAACGGCTTATTTCGGCATTTTATTCCGTGTCCAATGTATATATATCGAACCTTAAATGGAACAGGTTGCAAAAGTGGTCGAAGAGATTTGAACATACTTTAAAATATATTGGTGCCATATCACCGATTTCTTTATCTACTGGAACGCACTCAATCATCATGTGATGTTTTCTACGTAGATTTCTGTTCATTTCCATAAATACTATATCTTTGCCCTAAAAGTAAAAGACATTTTATAGGGAGTCGCCGTAACTGGCAACATTATTCCCCGGCAGGTAAGATTTATTTATTATATAAACATAAGTGTTATATAGAGTTTTTGGCCACTGAGAAAAATCGTATTTAAACACACGTAAAAAATACGATATTTTTACGTGTGAAAATATAATTTGTTGTAAAACGCATTGCCACGGACGTTTTATTGTTTTTCACTGAATTTTGTTTATATAATAAACAAAAAAATACATAGGTGCTTGGAAATACCAGATTTATTTCTCGTGTTGAACATGATATCTCACTCGTTCGCTGCGCTCACTCGTGAGATATCATGTTCAACACTCGAAATAAATCTGGTATTTCCGCGCTCCCATGTATTATTATTCTCTATATACAGTATAGATAGCCAGATTACTTTTGTGGTGTGTTCAATTGAAGTCTAATCACTTAATGAAAACCATCTCGGAATGTCCGAAGCAGGAATCCAACCCAAGGTCTGTGGTTTAACATATAACGGGCTGAATCAGGTAACATCGTCCCATAATCACATCAATGAAGCTCGTCATACATATGCTGTATAAGTGGATTGGAAATGCGATTGGAGATGCGTTGATTGTAGTGTGTAATTAATATTCCTAATTATTTCAATCGGGCGTTCCAGTAGCTCCATGTTTAGAATGCCGGTATATTAACTCAGAGCTTTGAGTTCGATTCCAGGTAACAAGTGATTTCAGTTTAAAGTCATTTAAACACAGCAGAGGTTATTTATTCGTACAGTGCTAACAACAAGAGTATACAGTATATTACTCACCATTTCCTCAAACATTTTCGTCAGACCTTTCTTGAAAATCTGAAAAATACAAGGCCATGGAAAACGTGAATTGACACCGTTGTAATAATATACATAAAGATATTACTCGAATGTGATTGGTTGATTTCAGTGCAGTTAATCCCAAACGACAGTGCAATTTTCTGTAATCACAGTGCAATTTTCTGTAATCACAGTGCAATTTTCTGTAATCACAGTGCAATTTTCTGTATTCACAGTGCAATTTTTTGTAATCACAATGCAAAAATCTGTAACAAACTGATCTGATTGGTGGAAAAACATTGTGATGATTAAATCAACCAATCAGTTTAAAGCACTTTAGTTTAAAGAAGTAACGGTCACAGATTGCTTCAAAACAAAACAAACATGGCGCCGCGCTACACAAAATAAAAGTTGCCTTTGTGTGGAAAATATGGCTTTTATCTTTATTTTTAAATGGAAAAGCATTTACCTTAAACAAGACTAACAAAAATTAGTACATAGTTGAGTGGAATTTTCAAGCTGTTAGCGTTGTATAATGTGATATAACAAAGCCAAGAAAACTTTGCCGGTGAATGTTCGCTATAAACGCGTAAGTTAAAACTACAATTGTCTCGAACATTTTTATGTAAATTATTAATAAGTAATAGCATGGTTTCTCGTGAAATTTGGATAAACATGCACTCGTGAGTTTTTCAAAGACCTCAAATAGCACTCGTCCTTCGGACTCGTGCTATTTTGAGGTCTTTGAAAAACTCATCCAAATTGCACTCGAAACCATGCTATTACCTATATACTTATTAATACTCAAAATATGCAAAAAGTTCAGAATACATATTGTCAAACATCAAATGAGCCAATTGCAGTCTATTAATTACTCGATGTGCGAAATTTTTAATAATTACCAACTTAGAGGAAACTCACTTTATACTAAAGAGCACTACGGGCTTGCTAGTTTTAACTGCCCACTCAAATATTCAACTATTCTACAAGGTTCGTTTTAGAAGCTATTTTAAATTCCCAGAGGTATAACAACGCACGTTGAACAACAAAAGACTGATTTCTATTTTTGGTTTTCATATGACGTCACAAACGTGACGGGGGGTCAACTCTAAACAAAACACAGTTATCAGAGTGAGTCGCTCGTTCGTTTTATGTATTAGCCTTGTGTTTGGTGGCAAATACGTGGAATTTCGTATCATTTTCTCACTCCAGTACAACATAAGCATCAATTTGAGGCTGACCCCCCGTCAGATTCACTGCATTATGCCGTAGTGAAACCCAAGAATAGGGGGACTTTTTTTTGGGGGGGGGACATCCTGTATATGCCGCAAAAAAAGTTAAGATCTTTATCTAACCTGAACCTCACTCCAGATATCTTCATCAACCATCGTTCCTGCGGTGTGGTGCATGATGGGAACTATTAAACAATGGCCATCTGTCAATGACTGATTCACAGGTAGCGTGAGATACACCTATAGAAGATATGCGAAGATAATGTACATGTGAATTAGTACGCATGAGACTAATACCCTCGCCTATCGTAGGCCGCCATTTTGAACATTTTTATAACCTTGAATGCAATTCTGTTATAAAAATGACTTTCCTAACGAGTGTCTTTTTAATACGTACGGAGTCAACAGATGTTGTGGCGTAGTTGGCAAAACAATTTGCTGGTGTTGCAGGTTTAATTATCCTGTTTGTTTGCACCAAACAAAACGATCGTTAAATATCTGTTAAAATACTACCAAAATGGCTTCCATGAATATCATTATCAAAAGGAAACCTCAAGAATATCCTAAACAATAAATCGAATCATGATAGGTAATCCCATCTTCATACGATCTTTCAAGGTCGTATTTGCTGAAACATTGGACAAATTCATGAACAAAAAACCTCAAATAGTCAAATACCTTCAGTCCAATAGCGATAATAAGATGTTTTGCCAACTCTGTACTATCCAGACAAAACTTGCAATTCTCCATTTGTGCAGCAAGTCGCTGATGCTCTGTTTTCAAAACGAGAACAGTATGGAAAATCATAATCAGTAAGATATGGTACAATTATGATTTTATATTAGCTGCATGTATACGTTTAGTTTTGTTCACTAGCTAAACTTTCTTGCCAATCAAGGATTCTGTGCAGGACAAGTATAGAAGGCTACAATGACACAATGTGATTTCTCAAGATGCAGTGAGATTTCAGACCTGGAAAAACGTGGGATCTCAGGATCCTGAGGAATATGTGGCTTAGCAAGAAGATTGAAGAATTTCAGGGTCCGAG